TTCGCTCCCGTGGAGCAGTGGGGTGAGCAATGGGATATCCGTTCCGTTTGTGCGGCCGGACAGACATCAGTCTGTCTGCTGCAGAACTGTGAGAGCAAGAAGGGCTCCAGAACAAGTTGCTCACTGCATGTTTGTCTTTGACCTGCAATAGTTACGGGTTGGGTTTACCAGGTGAGGGTAAGTCTGTGTACAGCTAGTTCCCAGGTGACGTCTGCTGTCGACAGGAGCTATCGCATTAGCAGCTTCCAGAGCAGAGTAGGAAGCTTGTGAGTTTGAGCAGAAAACCACTTAACTTTCAGTTGCTGTACAATTTGCACTGAGAGACTGTGCTTTACTAAGTAGACGTAATACAATTTGTGTTCAGTGTCAGAATATACTGAGGCACTTTAATAAACGATGAATGATAAATAATGCTAAATGCTTTATCAGATTGCACGCTATCTTGTAGGCTTCCTGTTGAAGCTCAGCGTATATTTGATGGGAAGGAATTTGTTTACAGCTGCATTCTCTCCACATCAATCTCTAAATGCCCTCTCCTTTCTTTTGTCTTCTGTTGGGCTTTGAGATCAGTTGCTCGTCACTAGGCTTCTTTAAACATCCTTATTAATGACAGCATTATTTATATTTACACTTAGGCTCTAGTTCTGGCTCTTCCCTCTGTCTTGTTTTGTCTTTTCCTGATATGCTTCCCCTTCTGGGCTTGGAAGTGCTTTCCAGTCAGCCTCAGCCAAACTTAATTTCTTTCTCTCGTAAGACTGACCCTCCTGTTCTGTCAATCTGTAGCTTCTACTCGTACATTTCTAATGAGAAAAATCAGGAGAGGACTGTTGTAATCAAACATAGTGCCGTGTGTAATACACACCAGAATATTTCACAGCATTGTCTGAAATAGAAGCTATATTCTAGGGAGGAGTCACAGATTTCTTTAAAAACAAAAAACCAAAACAAAACATTGTAGTTGATTTTTTTTTTTTTTTTTTTTTTCCCCCCTTGAAAATGTAACTGTTCTCTAATACAGAGTGAGTGCCTTGTTTCCAACGTGAACCTCATCTTCTGGCAATTAGATTATGGGAGATGTTTGTCTTGCAAATCGTTCAATCTCTGTGTACATAGAGCACAATTCTATACTGAAACTACATTTAAGCAGAGATCCAACTAGGTTCAGATGTGCTTTTAACCTCTCCCCGGTTACTCTTGAACTAGTTTGGAAGCTGGTTCAGAAACTGTCAGTATCGGGCATCATGCTGGTATTTTGGAACAGGGTGATGGGTGTGTAAAGCACATGCTCTTGTGTAGATTGGATGTAGGTTCCCATCCAGCTGAATTAGTTTCCAGTTAATTTCTAGCAGTTAATGTATTGCTGGATCGGGAACAGGCCACTTTGTGCAAAATGCTCGTTTTTCCCCTTAGGCTAATGATGAGGCTCTGACCTACTAATCTGTGTAATGCGGTTGGTGTAAGTGAGAAAATTTGTCTACATCCTAAGGCATCGGAGGTCTTACCCTAGTAAGTGTGTCACGCTTAACCGAGATCCTTGGGAATGACTGCATTTTGGCATCAGCCTGATCAATTCAATGCAGTATCTACCTTCTAGCAGGAAGTGTTTCCCTCAGTAGTGAAATTCCCATGACTTCTGCTTTCAAAGCAGGTTTGTGCTTAGCTTTGGGCTTCTGTTGGGGGATTTGGGTATTCAGTTGCTCCATGTCGGGCTTCCTGAGCCAGAATGCCAGAAGATTTTGAACGTGGCACGAAGGAGTGTGTGGAAATGCAACTTGGCTTTGTTCTTCGTATCCCGTGGTGTTATGCTTTACAAAGTTGCAATTGAGTCAGGATTTACTGATCTGTGAGGTGGAAAAATCACAACTTTATTGTGTTGTGGTGCCAGTAGCAAAACTTTTTTTTTTTCCCCCTGCGCAGACAGAGTGGGGATGATCCAAATGACACTTTCTTCAACAGGAAGATGGCTCTTGGGCTGCTTTTCTGCTGTTTCCTGAACTATGCATTTTGCTGCTAGCCTTTTTGCTGTTCTCCTTTCTGTGGAAGACTGGTAAATTCCTCCACTTCTTTGAGCAATGTGAAAGTGTTTAAGAGATGTGCTTAAAAAAGTAGTAGACTGGACTGGGAGCAGATATAGTATGGGTGTGAATCAGTCCTTTCACAATGAAGGCTGGCTCTGCGTGTGTCCTCCTGTCTGTCTAACCCTCACCCCCTTTTCTGGGTTAAATACAACCTCTAACTTGGCTAAATACAGGATTTTTGACCAAATTAATTTGAGCACCATATGATCTGCCTCCTCATGTTCCCTGAGCCCTTTGCAGGAGAAGGGAAATGTTTTTGAACAAAGTCTGCTAACAGAGTTGTGGGTGGAAAGAGGACAAAATGAGTACGTGAAGAACCACATATTTTCACTGGACTTCTAAAACAAGCGACAGTTTGTTCTCCAGATAAAGGCACATTTGAGAGGCAAAACCTGAACAGTGCAAGTAGGGGGGGGGGGGGGTTTGGGGGTTTTTTTTTTTTTTTTTTTTCTTAGGTGTCACAAAAATTCTTGTCCAAAATAAGAAGCACCGAAGCTTGTAAGCACATAATTTTAAAATACGAATATGTGACAGGCTGAATCCCAGGTGAGTCCTCATGACACGCAACAGAGGATCCTCATCTTGGGCACTAGAACCTGAAGGCTTTCAGTGAAGGGGAGCCTGCTCTTACATCTGGGGTTTTACAATTTCCTTCGGTAGGGATAATCTTGCTCCCATGCAGGAAGTCCCACGTATGTCAAAACAACCCGAATTATGGCTGGGAGAAACCTTTGGCTAACTAAGACCTGTGTCAAAACTCACTAGGGATGAGTGTGTTTCCATGCTCGGACAGGGCAAAGGAAGGCTGAACCCTGCTATGAGTGTTCTTGCATAAAATGTTGGAGGGATGTTATGCAACTTCATTTCTATATTTTTTTTCATTTTCCTTCTTTTTTTTTCTATTTTGCTAGTGTCTGCTGTGTTAAGATTGTATCTTCTGCAAATACCTTGAACCAAGCAAAGGTGTTTTTGGGAAGAAGCAGCTGGAGGTGCTGTTCAGGGCAGCCAGGGAGCTGGTCTAATTGCTTGCTGCTGACAGAAGGGGTTTCTTCACCCATTCACAAATGTCTTCTCCTTCCTTCTTCCCCTTCTTTTCCTCTTCATTGCCTCTGAAACTCATCTTTTCAGAGGTTATGCTCACCACCAACCAAAGACAGCTTCCCCCCCCGCCCCACTTTATTTTTTTTTTTTTTTTTTTTTTTTTTGGCGTAATGGGGTGTACACGGTGAGCACCAATGCTGGTGGGCCAGAGGAGATGGAAGGTGTGCAGCTGGGCTGAGTGGGGAACAGTGACTCTCCGGCCTGCAGCAAGCTGTTAGATGAACTCAGTGCATACCATTTCCCACAAAGGGACACCGCGCACCCATCTAATTGTTTCCTGTACACTTCGAATTGTGCAAAACAAGCCTTTCCATGTGGTGTTTGGGTTCAAACCTTGCAGCCTTTTTGCTTTCATGTGAGAATCCAAAAGTAAAATACTTTGCTAAGCGAAAACCTATCTACGTGATTGTTTTGGCTGAGAAATTCAGATAGGATAGTTAATAAAATAAATTTTAAAGCAGGAGAAGTTTTATGTCAGCCTGAGCCTTAAGGATGAGGAAAAAAAAACCCCAAAACCCTCCATTGTATTTTTCTGCTTGCTTCAGGAATTTACAAGGTGGAACTTGTAATTTCCTCGTTGACCAAATTCATGAGAGTGAGATTCTCAGCTCTTACTGTTCTTCAGATACAAAAATGGTTTGATTCTCTTAATTTTTTTGGTTGCGAGTTAGGAAGAATAAACTTGCAGCTTTTCTAAACTAGCTGAGTTAGTACTGAGATGTTCTTTCCCTGTAAGCTTACTGTTCAAAGACGGTCAAGGCTGGAATTTGTGCTTTGCAGCCCTGCCTGCTTTTCTCGTTCTTGAAGAACTTCCCAGTACTGCTGATGTTGCTTTGTGTCCATAGCTGTAAAAATCCTGCTAGCTGACTATCCGGTCATTAAACCATAGAAACATGAGTTTGAAGGGGATAAATAGCACAGAAAAGGGAAAGCAGACTTAGGCATCCCATACTGGAGCAATAAAAATACAGTTCTGAGAAGACAAGTCTTCAGTCCAGATGAAAATGCAAAGAATACAGTACCCAATACATTATGAAAACAGGACCTTGCACAAGAGGCGTGTTACTAGTCATTGATTCCGTTTGTTCCTGGGTGCAATTCAAAGAGGTGGTTCACTCTATAAAGCGTGGTTTGTCATGCAAGATGATGTAATTCACACCATGGTTGGGAGAGAGACTAAGCGTGATGTTTCTAGGGAAGGATCTAAGCCATTCCAGTTCTGTACACAGTGAAGAAGTGACTTATTGTCAGAATTCAGCCTCATTTGTTCTCTATTTAATAATTTCCACTTTCTTCTTTTAGGGTGGTGTCATCCCTTAATGTATTAGATTTTTCTTTTGCTGTTCCTCTGCATCGAGGCTGTAAGAGCTGAAAAAGATAGTCTAATTTTATCAAGCTTGTTGCCTTCAGCTTGTGAGTCCTGGCAGCCCCCTGCTTTTTCCACTTCCCCCTCCTGCTTCTCCAGTACTCAGTGCTAAAACAGCTGTAGCATCGGTGTCTACTTAAAAACCTTCCAAGAGTCCTGTGTATGTACACTTTACATTTTCACTTGTTCAAATAACTTCTCAGTTGCTTTGTGATCACAGGGATTTTACAGCCACCTTGAGGATCTGCACCCCTGTAAGGCTCATGCATGTGAAGTGTGCATTGTTGCCTCTGCTTTCCTGCAGCAAACGCTTCAGCTACTGACTCTGATCCCAACCATCATCGCTTTCCCTCCCAGTAAATTCCTTGGACTTGTACATTGAGTGATTATAAAGTACACTTAGCTGTGAATCAGTTCTTCTAGTTTAAACTAATGTGTTTAACTCTTGTCTCTAGGCTCTGTTTTGGATATTATAAAGCACATTGTGGCCAAAGGAGAGCACAAGACTGGCGTCCTAGATGAAGCCTGTATAGCCACGATCCTTAAGGAGGTGCTGGAGGGGCTGGACTACCTGCATAAAAATGGACAAATCCACAGGTATTTTTCATTTTTCTCATCTTTGTCCCAAAATGTATGTCGCTAAGCACACACAGTCTCATCCTACACCCAGCTTTGAGGGCATGGAACAAGGAAAATAAAGGTGGGAGCTTAATCAAAACTCAAAATTCAAATGTCTATATAATAGCTGCTGCTCTAGGGAATTCTATGACTAGGCCAAGTTTGGGTAAACTTTGGGGTATCAGAAGTTTTGCTGGAGACAACCTCTTGCCAAATGTCAACATCTGGCTGCAAAGTGTAGTTATTGGAGCTGGAAAAATTCAGCTGGTTTTGTTTCTTGCAGAGCTACAAATCACCAAGGGCACTGCATAAGAAGTGTTGAGCAATTTAATAAGAAGCCCTTCAAGTCCTGTTCTTAATTTTTTTTTTTTTTTTTAGGGCTAGCTGCAAGATCAACATAATGAAATTTGAATTTGGGTAATTTCATAAAAAAAAAAAAAATGGAAACAAAATTAGTGGAAAAACTTCTTTTGTAGGCAAAACCCAGTTAACTAATGGCCTGTGATTTGATGGATCACTGAAATGTGTGGGTTTCTGTGCTGCTATGTCATTTGGGAGATATTTTTAAATCCTGTTTTCCTCTGCCCTGGTGTCAAGGTGTGGTGTAGCTCAGGAAGAGAGAGGATACTAAGTCAGTATGTTCTACGGTTAAAAAGAATGAGATCTGCAATCCTAAATATGTGCTGAAAATAGAATATACTGCTTGTGGGTAATATACATCATCCCAGCCATGGACTGCCGCTGGGAACAACAGCCTCTTCTTTCTTGGGAATTTTGTGAGCTTGACCGTCTTCTGGTACAATGCCATTACAAGCATTGCTGCTGCTGTGCTGGAGTAAGTTTCTGTCCCCTTATGATAGCTGCGTAAGAAGAGGTAACTCTTTTTGCCAAAATGTATTTTAATTAGAAAATCCAAGAAGTATTTATTTCATAGTTTTGGTCAAACTGACTGGCTTTTGTAGGTTGTTTTGGGTTAAAAAGAAAGAAATGGTTGGAAACAACTCTGCTGGAATTCTTTTCCCTGAAAGAAGTCTCAAATTTTAGTTTCCAGTCTCTATTAAAATTCTGATTTAACAAGAATGGTTGTCTTCATTGAAGACAGTTTTGATTTCGCAGCTGGTTGCTTAACTTTGTTTTTTTAGAGATAAGACTTCAGGCAGCTCTGGGAAGTTAAAGCAACAGACCAACTTACTGAGTACATGGTAATTTTTCACCCTTGCCATAAGTAATTTAGAAAACCATGCTCATCTGTGACTCGCAGTTGTTTTGCTTGAATGATTTAGTTCATCTTCTGGTCTAATGAAATCAAAATATATGTTAAAGGAGCAGTAACCTGTTAAACTTCAGTTTTTCTGAAGATGTCACATGGTGATTTCTGTGTTGAGAGGTGGGTCTCCATTTGACTTGCTGTGGCGAAATAGCAAAGCTAGTAATTATGGTAAAGGTTATAGAGGATATATTCATGTGCTGGGGTTTTTTTACTGTGCTCAGCAAATTACGACGTTCACAGAAAGTTCAAACTGCTTGGTCTTAAAAAAATGTGATTCATACTGAATCATTTGGAAGCAGACTGAACCAAACCTGCTGCAACCATCCTTGTCCTGCTCATTTGAAGCATTTTGTCCTTATTAGGCGACTTCAGTGAAGGCACCAAAGCTGTGTCATTGCTGCAGTTTAAGGTTGCGGTTGTGCGTCAGCTACTTTGCATGTGTTGCATCCCTATATTTTGGGGGTGCTCCGACAATTGCGTAATGTTTTATCAGAAAAAAGCGTTTGGATTGCCTCATTGTGTTGGGGCACAGTGGTCTGGGAAGTTTGGAGAAGTGGTAATAGTCGTGATACAGAAGGAAAGTTGTGTAGTTTCCTACCTGTGATGCAAAGGATGGGTTTTTAACTGTTGGCAGAAAGCAAGCTTAAACGCCTTTGAGGGATGAAACATGTTTCCTTAATGGAGTTAATCGTGCTGTCTTGCATTTTATCCAGATGCACGTACACTGCTGAGAAAACCGCAGTTTAAAGTTGTAGCACGGATGGGGCCTTCCCTCATACATAGGAATATCTGTATGGTTTTCCCATTTTGCTTAACGCTAGGGGTCATAATATTGGTCATGCCTGATGGGAAAGGCAGGTGGAAATCTTGCAGTCATGCCAGAGATGCTCTGAGAGGAAGCATTTAAAATAAGTAAACTTCGGTCCCCTGGGTCACCTTAAAGCATCTGGCTCTAAAGGAAACCAACTGCATGGGGTGATGGCTCAACCGCTGAATTTAGTGTCTGCAATGTGGGGCAGCTGCGATTGGGGTGAGCTTCAGGCCAAGCCAAGGTCAGCTGTGAAGGGTCAAAAATTGAAGGGCTTGGGTTAGACCTGGAACAACCAACCCAGAGCAAGCAGCCATCCAGCAGAGCAAAGTGTTCAGCTGGTTACACTAAAATATCCCAACTTCATTTGTATTACATCTAGGAGAAAACGACTTGATAGAGACGTGGAATGGGTGAAATGAATGTAATTAGCACATCTGGAGTTGGACAGCACATCTGGAGTTGGACAGCTAGGCTGGTGGCAAAGCCAGGAGGATAAATATCTGGACCCAAATGTAATTTTGTGGCTGCTGTTGACCTGAAGCAGGGACAGCTTGTTACTGCTGTAAATCATCAGTGAGATCAGAGAATATATGTCTGACAGTGGCGTTGCTCGATACTTTTAAATTATGCATCATCTTAAATGGGTAAATTAAGTTAACGCGTGGAAGACTGGCTTAATGAAATTCTGCTGCTGCTGAATCTTACTCTGCCTAAGCCTGCCTTAAACTTAATGCCACTTCCAATTAAGGTTTGGGGAGCTGGCTTCGGGTGGAAGTGTAAATCCGTGCCTTGGACAGGAGAGTAGCTTGACAGTATTCTCTGGAGGAGATTAGAAAGCAAAATATCTAGTGAAGGCTTAAATTATTTTTTTTTTTGTTTACTTTCCTGATTAACAGCCAGAGAAAGGCTGAGACTTGAATAGATGCCGTTGTTCAGCAACAAATGCTGAAGTCTCCCGCATTGTCCAAAGCGATATTTTTTGCTTTTGTCTTGCAAGGGCTGTTGGGAACAGCGTCTGAGGCCCTGCAGAAAAGACAAAGGAGAAAGCAGGATCAGCTTTATATTCATTAAACGCTCTATACCAGGGGTAATGATTACAAATGATCCCTGTCTTCCTTCAAAATCACCGCTGCCTCCCGTATCTCGGGGTGGCATGCATGCGCCTCTCCCTGGCCGTCCCTCCGGTGCCAGCTGCCGCCGTCCCCGCTGTGGTTCTCTGTGTTGCACGGTGACCCCAATGACGATTTGAAATCCTAGTGATCCGGCTCATGTTAAGCGAGTTAAATATCTGGGCACCAGCCAGTTGTGCTGAGGACGGAGGGCCAGGCTCGGAAACCTTCGGATGAAGCTGTCCTGCAGGAATCTGCTCGGATGCATTTTTTTTTTTTTTTTTTATGGAAGTGAAGCAAGACTGACACGCTGCAAGGGGTTGCTCCCGGGCTAATCTTGTCTGGGTGACACCCAGGGAATGTTGCACCTCTTCCCCATTTGGACTCTGATTCCTCTGTGTATTTGGGGATTAGCAGGAGTTTGATGAATGACTTGGAAATAAAACTAAAGCAAAACCGACGCAAGAGGCTTTATTGCTTAAAGGGACTTGGTGGAGGGAAGTTCAAGGCTTTTTCAGGTGGTACTCTTCATGGCGGTCTGACAAATGAATCATGCTGATTAACTGTTACAAGGTGTCTCTGTCTTTCTGCCTATTTTTATCTCTGAGCTTATCTTCTGTTCATGATTAGCTGTTGTGTAACTGAATATTTTAGTTAGTCCAGGTGAAATGATATGCTGCTCAAATATAATCAGATTCTCCTATTGCAGCATAATAAATGTGATACTCGCATGCTTTGTAAAAACAAAAAAGCTTAGGAAGTGGTTTAGGGTTGCATGTACTTGAAATACTGGTATGGCAGTGATCCAGCTATTAATTTGTTTGCTCTAGTTCTTAGGGGGGGTGAGAGGTGCAACAGCCCATCTGATATTCTGGGTTAGATCCACTTGTGCCCCCATACAGAATGTTTTGGGGGGTTTTTTTGGTGTCTTCTCACAATGCATTTTCTGAGTGTGGGGCAGCAGGGTGCCATGGCAGCTGATTGAATGTTGCTTTGAAGAGACCCCGAAAACAATATTCTTGCTGTGTTTTTGTGCCAAATACATTAGCTTATTTTTTGGACCTTGGGATGGTTTTGACAGAGGATCAAAGTTGAGTTGTCTGCCTCTTCTACCTATATTAAGAGAAAATAATTTCTGTAAAAACGATGTCTGTATGGGAACACATACACATGAGCAACACTGTGAGGGGTTTTGCAGGAGCGCTCCTCTGGCAGCGAGCTTCGGATTTAAGATGGAGCTGATGGATATATTTTGGCAGAACCTGGCAGTCCTACAGGATTCAAGCTTAATTTTCATGTAGCTGATTAATGCATTGATAGCTGTGCTGGCAGGTATTGTGGTTAAACTGGATTCCAGTATGCTTCTGAATATTTTGAAGACTGAAATACGGTACTTTTTTGTTTTTGTAGCAATACTGTGGGAGAACTTCACAGCCCTCCTCTCCACAGTGCTATAGTCTTGTTTTGGGGAGTGTGTTTTGGGACTGAAGTTTGGTAGGGGACGATTGAGGGATGGATAATGAGATGTGCAGCCTTTCAGCTCTTAACTGCCAGCTTGATTTTAAGTCAGGAGTAATTTGGAAGCTTGCTATTGCTCCATCGTGGGAAGTGGAATTTTGTATTCAGAGAAGTGTGCTTCGGTCTCTTCTCCCTTGTAGTATGGGATGGGCAGAAGTAACCCTTAGAGGTAGTTGTTGATATAAATTTTAAAGTGTTAATTTGTAAACAGTTCAGTAGCCAGAATAATAGAAATGTTACTCTTGGGTGTCTCGGTTGGAAGGAAGAGAAG